GAGAAAACATGATAATCAGAAAGACAAAGAGAAAGAGAAAAAAATAGAAACAGAAATAAGAGAATCACAGACAAAGAGAAAGAAAGAGTGGGAAGAAGAAAAGATAAATATAGAAACTGAAAGAGAGAAAACAGTAAAGGAAGAAATGATAAAGAAATAATAAAAAAAAGAGTGAGAGAAAAAAATACGAACACAGAGAATGAGAGAAATAAAAATAAATGAAAATATAAGCAGACAGAGGAAGAAAAAAAGAAAGTGAAAGAGAAGAAAAATAAGAAAAAATCAGATAAAGAGAGAATGAGAGAGAAAAAGAAGGATAATGAGAAAAGAGAATGAAAGACACAAAGAAAATATAAGAAACAAAGAGAAATAAAAAACTCGAAGACAAAGAGAGAGCAAAATATATATAAGGGAAAGAGTAAAAAAAGACAAATAGAGAGAGTGACAAAGATAAAGTAATAAAGAAAGAAAAATATAAAAAGAAAAGAGTGAAAGAGAAAGACAAATAGAAGAAGTGAAAGGGAGATAGACAAAATAAAAAAGGGAGAGGGTGAAAGAATAGATAAATATAGAGAGAGTAAAAGAGAGAAAATGAGAGATAATCAGAATTCAAAATAAAAAAGGCAAAGAGTTAAAGGGAAATACAAATAAAGAAAGAGTGAAAGAGAGAAGAAAAAGTAGAGATAGAAAAAAAGGGAAGAGGAAGAGAGTGAATAAGAAAAAAAATAAGAATAAAAACAAAAACAAATAGAGAGTGAGAGAGAGAAAAAAAATCAGAAAGACAAAGATAAAGAGAGAGCGAGGCAAAAAAAAAAAAAAAAATAGATAATAGGTAAAAGAAATAGAATGAATTGAATAAAATAGAAATAAATAGATAAAATAAAATAGAAACAAATTAAATAGAATCAATAAAATAAAGTAAAACAAAAATAAATCAAATAATTTAAATAAAAGGGAATAAAAAATAAGCACAATAGAAAAAAACAAAGAACAAGGAAAACAAATAGAGAGAGTAAAAGAGAAGAAAAAATAGGAATTACAAAGTGAAAGAAAAAGGGGATAAATAACAAACAGAAACAGAGTGAGAGAGAGAAAAATAATAATCAAAGAAAAAGTAAGGGTGAGAAAATATTTAGATAATCAGAAAGATAAACAGAAAGAGAGAGAAGGAGAAATGATAAGAAACAAAAGAGAAATAAAAGAATCAGAGACAAAGAGAAAGAAAAGATGGAAAAAAAGATAAATATAGAAACAAAAGTCAAAAAGGAAGAGAATGAAAGAGAGAAAATAGTAAAAAGAAAAATGAAAAGAGAAAGAGTGAAAGAGAGAGAGAGAGAGAGAGAGAGAGAGAGAGAGAGAGAGAGAGAGAGAGAGAGAGAGAGAGAGAGAGAGAGAGAGAGAGAGAGAGAGAGAGAGAGAGAGAGAGAGAGAGAGAGAGAGAGAGAGAGAGAGAGAGAGAGAGAGAAAGAGAGATTGGGAGAAAAACTAAATAAAGATTGAATCATGGGAAATAAAAAGAGAGAGTGAGAAATAGAGAAAAACAAAAAATCAGAAAGACAAAGAGAGAGAGAGAGAGAGAGAGAGAGAGAGAGAGAGAGAGAGAGAGAGAGAGAGAGAGAGAGAGAGAGAGAGAGAGAGAGAGAGAGAGAGAGAGAGAGAGAGAGAGAGAGAGAGAGAGAGAGAGAAGAAGAAGAAGAAATATTGAGAAAGAAAGAAATGAGACACAGAAAGAAAGAGAAAAGAGATAATCAGAGACAAATAGAAGGAGAAGGAAAAGATAGAATTAAAGCAAATAGAAAGAGAAAGTGAGAAATAGAGAAAACAAAGAATCAGGAAGACATATGGAGGGAGTGAAATAAAAAAAAAAATGAGAATTAGAGTGTGAGAGAAAGGGAAATAAATGACAGTGAAAAGAGAGAAAGAAAAAAGAAAAGAAAATCAGACAAAGAAAAGGAGAGTGAGAGAAAAAAAACAAGTAAGAAACAGAAAAAATAAAGAGAAAGAGAAAGAAAGAAAGGGGAAAATAGATATATATAGAGAGAGGGGAAGAGAAAAAATAGAAAGAAAGAAATAAAAAAGGAAAGGGAGAGAGTAAGAGAGAAAAGATTAAGAATCAGAAATACAAAGAGAGAGAGTGAGAGAGAGAAAGAGAAAAAAATAACCAGAAAGACAAAGACAAAGAGAAAGTGAGAGAAAAAAATCGATAAAATAGAATTATAACAAATGGAAAGAGAGAGCGAGATAGAGATTAGAAAAAGAATCAGGGAGACAGAGTGAAAGAAAATAATAAATAAGAATGAGAGCGTGAAAGAAAGGGAAATAAATGACAAACAGAAAGAGAAGAAAAAGAAAAGATAAACAGAGGAAGGGAGATACAGCAGTAAATGAGATAATCAGACAGAAAAGGATAAAAATAAGAAAAAAATTGGAATTGGAAACAAAAATAGAGAGAGTGGGAAAAGAAAATATAAATAGAGAGAGAGTGAAAGAGAGAAAATAGTAAAGAGATAGAAAGCAAATAAAAAAGTAGAAGGTGTAAGAGAGAAAAAAATAAGAATCTGAAGAAAAATATATATAGAGAGATAGAGAGAAGAAA